CAATAATAGAACATCCCAATCCCAAATTACTGTAACTTCTATTTTATGTATGGGAGCAAAATTTCAAAATTCTATTTCCATCCGATTACTATAACTAATTATTATAGACTCATAATCATTATAGACACATAATTATATTATTAAGAGTTTATCCTCAACAGTTCTCAAGGACAGAGTTAAGAGGACTTATTTTGACAGAGATTTTGCCCTTGAAATGATGGAGTGTCTGAATATCTGGCCCATGTTTTATTATGTTATAATGTCTCCAGAGATTTGTACAACTGTGTAACAATGCCTCCTATCAATTTTTTACTGGATAATCTGACAAATTTTATTAATGCAATTTTTGTTCAACCAATTATTTAACATATTATTTACTGTAGCCAAATTATCCATGTCAGCAAAGAGAATTTTCCATCTGCTACCTTTTAAGAGTTTTTCCCTCCTATTATTTCTCATTCCTACATATTTCAGAGAATTCTATTTTTTGTATCAGAATAATTTCAGTTTAAAAAGCGAAATTCACTTGTGATTTATCTCCTACTATCTGATACCAATATGCCTCTGTTTATAATTAGCACTTGTAATCATAAGAATTCCAAGACTGAAAGAACTTAGAATGATGACCACATCAAAACTGCAGTGGTGCAGTATGTAGCATTGCATCTTGGAGAGAAGATGGAGGCTTATTCCTGATTTCATAGGTCTATATATTGCAATGAACCATGGAACAAAATATAATGCCACTGTACCACTCTAAACTCAGTTATATGAATGCCATATTCCATGGTTGCATCTGTACATGAAGCTAATATCTAGAAACACCTACTGAAATGAAAGCCAAGGGAAGCAAGATCTCCATATACTCAGCTACTAGGTCAAGATAGGCTTTGTTAAGAGCAGTGTATGCCAATCAGCACATCTGTACTAAATTATTAGCTAGATTTTAATCTTTTTCAAACAGATTGTACTTCTGTAGAATTTTAGTGCCTAAAAAATGGTGAGCAGCAGTCTCCTTTGCAAGATAGATGGGTGATATTACTGAAGAGTAGGTCTCCAAGGGTGAAGTATAGTTTTAATGTGAACTGCAGCTTTGAAGCCTTTCTGTATACAGTGTGTGGAAGAAGTGGTGGGATTCCAAATTTTTTCCTACTGGTTCTATGAGAGCACACTTTGTGCACGCAGCAATCAACCGCCGGCTGTCAGCACTAGAGAGGTGAGCTGTTTTTAGCTCAGCTGAGGCGCAACAATCCACTCTGCCGTGTGAATGAGCAGAGCTAAAAAAACAAGAGAACATAGGACAGGATAAGGTGTGGGCGGGGCCAGCCAGAGGTGGTATTTGCTGGTTCTCCAAACTCAAAATTCCCGTTACTGATATGCCAGAACCAGTTCAAACTGAATGAATACCACCTCCGTGTGGAAGCCTTACACTGCAATGACACTGGTTTTTTTAAAAAAATTATTTATTTATTTATTTATTTTGTCAAGCGGTTATAAGATAACAGATATAAGTATAAACATAGTTATGAATACATGAAATGGATACATATAAGAAAAATAAAAAGAAACAATAGGACAGGGACGGTAGGCACGTTGGTGCACTTATACACGCCGCCTAGGCTGTATACCGTATGTGGAGATCAGCTTTTTGATGTCGTATTCAGCATGACATGGAAAGAGGAGATGCTGCTTATCAGCGCTAATATGCTCAATAACATTATATAGTGATGTTTTTTTTTAAGAATCTTAGATATTTTGTCCCTGAAAAGCCAAGATGTGCATTATCCATTCAAGCACATGGTAAAGGAAGAAGAGGAGGAAAATTCCAAGCGACCAAGTTTCAAAACACTTTAAAATGCAACATTATTTCTTGAAAATTTATTACTTTTCATATTCTGATAATAAGTTTATTGATTTGGAGAATTTTAACTCATTGTGTTAAAAAAATAGAAATGTACAAGTAGTCCTTGACTTATAACCACAATTGAGCCCAAAATATCTGATGCTAACTCAGACATTTGTTGTGTTTACTTTATTGATTAGCCCTTGGGCCAAGCATTTGTTGAGTTTTGTCCCATTTTATGACATTTCTTGCCACAGTTGTTAAGTGAATCACTGCAGTTGTTAATAACATGGTTGTTAAATGAATCTGGCTTCCCCATTGACTTTGCTTGTCAGAAGGTTACAAAAGATGACCACATGACCCTGGGACAGTGCAACCGTCATAAATATGAGTCCGTTGCCAAGCATTTGAATTTTGATCTCCTGACCATAGGGGATGCCGCAACAGACATAAGTGTAAAAAATGATCATAAGCCACTTTTTCCAGTGCTGTAGTAACTTTGAATGGTCACTAAATGAACTGTTGTAAGTCGAGGATTATCTGTATTATTTTCTTGTCAGGTTAATGAGAAGGGCAAATGGGCAGCTTCTAGATACATCTGATTTGAATAAGACTGTTTTTAGAATCATAGATGAGGCTCCAGCCAAAGCTTCTTAGACTTTTGTATTTCTTAAGTAAAGCACATAGTGATTAAGCCATGAGTTTCATTTCAGTTTTTTCATAACCTAATACAGAATTATCTCAATGTGTCCAGTGTTCTTCTGAATCAAATGTCAAACCTGTTATTAATGGTTCTCATAAATGTTCATATAACATGGTTCTATAGAAGCAAACAGTAGATCCATAATATGATGATCCATTTCATATAAATACACATTTATATGAATGCCATAGTTTCCTGTCAAATACTAATTTTCAACTTTCTCCCTAAAGAAATGTAGAAGTTGTAATACAAAATGGATTTCAAAATCATTCAGACTGTATGTTTTCATAAATGTTGGTTTATTATTTTTAACAGATTCGGCTTATCACTGCACTGTGGTCAGTGCTTTTTGTTTTAAAAAAAGAATTTAATTTTTAAATGTTGATGGAATCCCAACACATGCCATTAATTTGGAAAAGGTGCCAATAATTATAGCAGTATTTTCTACATTACTCAAAAACGTATAATACAAAAGGACTTGCTAGAATTTCATTTCTGTTAAAAGAATAGGTCAGTTAAATGTAAATTAGATCTTTGAATTTCAGCAGCTGTTTTCAGAAATTTTCAGGATGCTTTTCCTGGAAGCAACACGAACATAAATTTACAGGGGGGGAAAATGAAGAGTCAGTGAAGTGTATATAAATCATATAAAATGTTATTCAAGTGAAAGACAATTAAATTAAGAATAATTAGAGTTCAGATTGCTATTGTTCCATTATGTTCTTTGGAGGAAAACGGGCATCAGAATGTCCAAGTAACTTCGAAGCTGCTCTGCAATAGTTTCATTTATGAATTTTAAAAGAAGGGATTGATGGTCTTGCAAAGCTTTCGTCCTACATGCTGCTAATTGGAGAAGTACTTATCAGGCTATTGAAAATGCTGTCTAGTGAACTCTGGCTAGGATCCAAAGAGCAGTGAAACTCTGAGAATGGACCTACATGCTGCCATACAAGCCTCACCTAAAATTCAATGGAAATTTGGAAATGGTCTCTGATGGTGGCCTCTAGTGTAGCATAACAAGGGGGAATTGGGAGGGGGAGAACAGAAGAGAATAGTGGACATGTGCATGTGCCTAAGTAACTTTCTGAATTTTGATCCTTTCCTTAGTTTCAGCTAAGCAGCTTAACTTTATAGGATGGTTCTTCAGCAATATCATATAATGTGTTCCAATATAATCTTTCCATCTTTTATTAAATAAATTCTGGAGTTCTGTTGAACACGGAGAAAATGAAACTGGATTTATTTTTCTTATTATGAAGCAGAGAAGAGGAAAGAAAGCACACAGACTTTACTCAATCTCCTTTCTTCCCATATACATAGTAGTATTAAAACATTAGTTAGCCTCAGATATAATTTTCACATCCAAAGCTTCATCCAGAGTAACATAGAATAAATCCATTAAAATCAGCAGCACATAAATTACTTATAACTGAATTAACTCCCACTGGGTGTACAGTAGTTTAATTGACATGACTGGAACTGGACCATAATATTTCTATCATTGTGGGAACATATTTATATCATCAGTACATGTTCTAATACTGCAAGAATACTTGTATGCTGTTTGAAAGGAGAGGGGGGTTTCTGATTATTGTAATTCCTAATTCTGATCTAACTCTTCCTGCCTTTTCTCTCTTTTTTATTTTTTATTTATTTACTTTCTTTATTCTGTTGCTGACATTTGTATTGTCACAGTATGTGAAACTGATGCTAAACATGTAACTATACTAATCTGTGTGGCATACATAAAGAATGAAAGAAAGATGTTTGGGCATTTTCTTTCTTTCTTCCTTTTTTTGAAATAATAAAAAGCTGTACACTATAGGCCCCCATACAAAGTGATGCTTTTATGCAAAGAAACTGGAGTCTGCTTATTACCTACAGTATGCTTGCTAGCCCTGATGAACAGACCACCATAGTTGTGACAAGTGATGTAGCTGCCTCCAGGGTAAAACAAAGCTTTAGATATTACACAAGCAATTTAACTGTTTTCTAAACAGATTGCCAAGACAGTGGGAGTTGGCACTGTATTTTAAAGCTTGGATACTTGAAGTGACTGCTGATTATAGACCTTTTGATTTGCCTTCTGCATACAACAGGCAACCAAGTAATCCAGTAAAGAATGCTCACAAGCACTTAAACTTGTCTTCATGGCTTCCCATAGATTACACTCAGAACTCACTCCATAAAAGTGGAGGTAAAGAGGCCTGATAACAAACAGTTGCCTTATTCCAACTCTCAAGAAACATCCTTGCTCCCATCACCCAATCCAGAAGAAGTGTTTTATAATCCTTTTCCTCATAAACAGAAAAAGGAAGAAAGAAGCCTGGCAAAGACTCCTCACAAGAAAGAAAGAAACTTGGAGCGGGGTGGGTGGGTGGGTGGGTTGGTTCTTGAACACAATAAGCAACATAATTAACTTCACAATTCTTTGTGTTTTTCATTTGACTACAGGGTGGAGATGAAAGAGGGCTCCTAAGTCTTGCATTCCATCCCGATTACAAAAAAAATGGGAAGCTGTATGTGTCCTATACCACCAACCAAGAACGATGGGCTATCGGGCCTCATGATCATATTCTTCGGATAGTAGAATACACTGTGTCCAGGTTTGAATTCTATATACAACCTCTACAGTATTTCCTAGGATGTAGTATGCTTTAAAGTATTTGTGTCACTTGTGTGCTCTCTTAAATTCTACAACTTTTGTATCTTTTACTTTCAAAGATGAAACTCTGATTGATGAAAGGTACAGTGATATAATATGCTGTATATAATATATACTATTGTGTATTATAATACAATCCAAACTAAATTTCAGGCAAATAATGTTGAGACTAGAAACAGTTACATTTACTTTTCTCCCTCCTATATTTATTCAATTATTCTTATGTATATATTCTGATTACTAGATAATTCAGTGTATAATATAAAATTCTGATATCCCACTGTATTTGGAATTAAATGATTTCTTATATATTGAGGAATAAAAAACAAATTAATTGGGAGGCATACACGCACAGGATAAATAATATATTACTTTCTTTTTCAGGCTAATCAGTAATTTGTGGGCAAAAGTAATCTTGCCCATATGATGATTTTGAAAGTTCTATTCAGGGTACCCTGCTCATTCTCACATTCTCAGAATGTTTTCCTTATACTAAGATTACAACTATGTTGATTGGTTCCTAACATTCTTCAAGATGTTATCTGTTATAATACGGTATTTCATAGATGTCAGGTCCCCAAGACCAAGAAGGATGCTCAGAGTTACTTCAAAGCAGTTTTGATCCCCATTCCTAGACATAAATTTGCCAAACAAAAGGAACTACTTACATCATTAAAGATATACTTTGAGAAATTGTAGGAAGGAACTATCTTGACCTTCTTTCTCCCAACCAAACTATCTATACTTTGCTATTTCTTGGAATGCAGCCCTTCCCTTCTGGGAATCCAGACTAAAATTAATTTCACCAAAATTAATTCCCCCTGGAAAGTGTTTTGTTGCCTGTCCTTCTAAGCAATCATTAGTGACAATCTAAAATTAATTCTTCTCTGTATGCAACTCTATGTGTTTTAGATCCTGACTTGCCTTCAAAGAACTTTAGGTAGTACTTACTATATATCCTGTCTCATACCCCAGCACTACTTTACATTCATAATAATATGTCATCGGAGAGGGCCACCTAGTATTGTGCCATTATATGGGCTTCATGAGCTGCCTTGAATTACTCCCGTGTTAGTTAGAATCTACTCCTTCATCTACACTTCCTAAATATTCAAATTCATCCATGTTGCAAACTCTTGCAAAAAGAAAGGCAAGCAACAAAAAATGTATATGCATTTGTATTATGGCAAGGAACTTTTTATATTGCTCTCTGTCATTCTGAGGTACTTAAAATATTTTAGAAGATGAAAACAAAAATGATATACCTACTTTGAAGTTAAATATATTATTGGGATTCATTTTCTCCCTCCCTTATTGCAGAAAGAACCCACACCAAGTTGATATGAGGACTGCAAGACCTTTCCTAGAAGTTGCAGAGCTGCATAGAAAACATCTTGGAGGACAGCTGTTCTTTGGTGCTGATGGGTTTTTATACATAATCCTTGGTGATGGAATGATCACAATAGATGATATGGAGGAGATGGATGGTCTAAGGTATAAGAATTTCCAGTAGATAAAAACCTTTTTATCTTTTGATTTTAAAATATCAACCCTAATTCAGCTCTTGAAATATAAATAATTATCATTCTATACTGAAGTAATTTCTTATCACTTTACTGAATGAATGAGAAATTAAAATTTGTCCTCATGACAAATAGTTGGAAATAATTCATAATAAATAATTTAATTGCTAAAGCTGTGTTATTTATTATACATTATTCATTCTCAGAAGAGAATCTGATGTAAAATAAACAAAAGCATGGCCAGTAAAAATTAAAGATCGGTTACATTGACTTTCTTAATTTTTCAGAAGCAAACTTTGCTTTAAATCAGGTTTTCCAAACTGTGAGGGGTATCTCTTTGGGGAGGGGAAAGACAGGGTCCAGGGGAGGCATGACGACTCTGAATACATACACCTTTCCCAAAGTTTCATTGCATTGAGTTCATTGTCCATTTGTGCTCATTCTGAGTGACTACTGTTTGGAACAGAAAGTAGAAGCTAAAATGCGGTTGCCTTTTAAAAGTCAATTATCTTGTCTCCAACTTTCTCAGTGATTTTACAGGTTCGGCGCTGCGCTTGGATGTAGACACTGATTTATGCCACGTGCCTTATTCCGTACCACAGTCTAACCCACATTTTAACAGCACTAATCAGCCTCCTGAAATTTTTGCCCATGGACTCCATAATCCAGGCAGGTATGTAAAATACTTGCTATGAAGAATGGAAAAGGATACTTATCCAGTTTCTAAAACTTAATCAAAGCAACATGGAAAATAATATAGGGTATAAAGAAGCTAAATAAATATAGCCTAAAGTAGCTCTTTCTTCATGTAAGTATTTGGAATTTTGTTTTATTACTGAGAAAAATAAATTATAAATGAATTAGAACAATCAGTTTGTGGCGTCCTAGCTGCTTTCTGAACTTGGTTGCTTTCTTGCAGGTGTTTCACTACCAAACTAGGTAACACCATCAGTCCTCATAGGGAATGGAGTTTGCTCTCATTTTATATTTTACTGGATTACCTGTTTTTGTTGGGGGAAGTTGTCTTGGTGATTCCTTGTTTGGACTGTTGTTTACTATAGCTATTTGGCAGGTATTGTTTGCTTTTTTGTTGTTTGAATGTTACTCTTGGTGTTAATTCTCTGCTCGTGTGGGTGTTGATTGCTGGTAAGGGGAGGTTTCCTTTTTGGCTTTTTGATTGTCTCTTTTGAATGGCATGTAGATGTTTATGTTGTTGTGTCTGTTAATGTCTGATTTGACTAAGTGCCTGGTTTCCAGGAATTTACTGTTTTTGGACTTTGCCTGGTCTAGCATGCTTCACAGTTTCCCAGTTGAAAATATGGTTAAGTCTGTCCATGTATTGTGAAAGGTCTTCTGATTGTTAATGGGTGTTCATGGATGCACTCTACTAGATTTCTGTCTGTTTGTCCTACATAGTGGCTGTTGCAATCCTTACACTATATATTGTAGATGACTTCTGTTTTCCTTTTGGGACTGCTGGTTTTTTTTATTTACTTAGGATATTTTGTTGGTTTGTGTGCTATGATGATGCCATGTGGCTCTAATAGTTCGTTGGTAGTTTCTGAGATGCTTTTGATCTATGGCAGTGTTATCCTTTTCACAGCTTGTATTGGTTGTGCTGCATTGGGTTGAATGGTTAATTTTTGATTGCATGGCTATCCATCTTATTGGAAGATATTATACTGTACATTATGATCTGATTCCTTTTTCTGATGTTCAGGGTTACCACAGTGAGTTTTGTGCTTGTATAAATAATGTTCTTACACAGTTTCTCTTGTTTTGCTGTTGCTTGGTAATGGAGCACCAGAGCAACAACCCAAGGAGTGAGGTGTTAGATATACTTGTGTTTCTAATTTGCCATCACTGCCCCTGCTGAGGAGAATTCCCATGAAGGGGAGCAATGCATGTTGTTGTTTTCTTCTTCTCAGTAAATTTTATTCATATGAAGATGTTGATAGTTTGGTATGTGTTTATAACAAAGGTGTTATCTATGTACTGGGTCCATACTTTGAGTTGTGTGGAAGTGCTATAAATTCCAAGCATTCCATTTCAGTCTCTGCTATGACTCCTGAAAGTGGTGATCCCATTGGTGTTTCTTTGATTTATTGATATATTTGTTCATCAAACTGAAAGTATGTGGTTATGCAAAGGATGATAAGATCCACGACTATGGCTATTTCAATCTTGGTGTATTTGGTAAGATTGGATGTGCTGTCATGGATTCTTTGGCTAATTCTGGGTCTAAGGATACAAAAAGTGTTGTGATTTCAAATGAGACCATGATTTCATTTTCATCTGTTATCACGTCTTTGATTCTTTGCAGGCACTATAGTGGTGAGTTGATGGAGTATTTGCTTCCTGCTGTGAAGTGCCCAAGCTTTTTTCTCAATTCTTTAGAGGTGTTGTAGTTTGGAGTCCTTGGTAATGAAACAGTTAGATAGAGAGGTATGTCTGGCTTGTGTGTTTTGAAGCATCCATGGAACCGTGAGAGACTGGTTCCACTACATTTCATCCACCACTGGTCTTCTTTGGTGAAACTTCCCTTGACCTGTTTGTCTAATTTTTGTACTGGGTTGGTATTCACTGGGGTGTAAGTTTCTTTGTTCTAGTAATTCTTTTACTTTTTGTATTCCTGGAAGCCTGCCACTCAAACATATTTGCTCTTTTCCGTGTGAGTTGCCTATGAATATATATTTTCTAATCTGAATTATCCTATTTGCAGTTTGCATAAGTTTGTTATTTAATGCTCCATTTAAGAATGTACACTTTAACATCAGTGATTAGAAATAAATTGGTGATATAGAAGTAGAAGTCATATATAGCAAACAAATGAATTAGTTCATGTTATCACAAAACAATGTCCTTGAACAGGTGTGCAGTGGATCGCCATCCAACAGATGTAAATATTAATTTAACAATACTTTGTTCAGACTCGAATGAGAAGAACAGATCATCAGCAAGGATCCTTCAGATAATAAAAGGAAAAGATTATGGTAAGTTCTGGATCATGGAGCATTTAATATTCATATTCCCTTCAAAGAATGGATAGAAAATTTAATATAGCAACAATATACTGCCCAGGTGTTAGGAATATAGTAGGCAACTTTTGTTCTCCTTATGATGGATATTTTTCCTATATTGTAATTGTATTAGGCACTAATTTATAAAATAAAAACTAGTAGAAACTACAAAAAAATTGATAACAAAAAGAACAAGTGTAAAGTTTGTAAAAAATTATTTGTAAAATAATAAACATAGGATATAAATAATTGCCACAAAAAATACTAAATAAAAAAATAAATAAAGTGAAGGAAGAAAAATAATGTAAGTGCAGCAAAGAAAAGAAAAAAAGAGAAAAAATAAAGTAACTTGCACCCTGGTCACACCAAATGTACCGTAATTTTTTCTAATAACTGACCACTTTCTATTTAAAAAACCAAGTATCTCTTCACCCCATATCCCATCTCTTTATTTAGAAACAAGTCTTAAAATCTTGTTGTTCTAATCAGGAAAAGTCCATTAAGGGAAACCAGAAATAACAACGTCTATTTTAAATGAAATCCCAGAATCCACTTTTTAATTCTTTCTCTTCCTTCTATATATCATCCTTTTTCTATAAGAAACATTCCCCAAAGTTCATTATTCAATCATAGTCAATCAATATTCACGAGCAGCTGAATTGTAAACCTATGTGAATTATTTAGATTCAGGGTTATATAAAAATTATATAATTTTTTTTAAAATTCCAGGTCAACATGGGGTAAGCTTTCAGGACAATGATGAAAATCAGCAATGGCCAGTGGTGGGATTCAGCCAGTTCGCACCAGTTCAGGAGAACCGGTTGTTAACTTTCTGAGCAGTTTGGTGAACTGGTTGTTGGAAGAAATCATTAGGGCAGAGAACTGGTTGTTAAATTATTTGAATCCCACCACTGGCAATGGCTATAGCTTTTCCTAAGTGAAAGGACTATGTTAGATAAATGATTATTTGCCATTAATCTTTCAATATCAAAATTTAGTACCCATTGTTGTTTCTTTTTTTCCCAGTTAAAATTATGGGTAATAGTACCATTCTTGACTATTTATTTACTTCTGGGAGCACAAGTATATTCCAGTTTTTATATTTTATTTTTCTATTTTGGAGGTACAGAAAAAGTGTACTCATATCTTTAAAAAAAGGTGCGAATGGAATTTAGAACAATTCTGTGCAATTGGTATATGTTCTAACATAGGGAAATACTGTATATATAGATGATTCTGCTACCAAAAACAGCTACACTTTTTTTTTTCTTATGGTACTTACAATTTTATGAGATGTAAAATATCAGTTTCATTTTGTTTTTAAAATAAAAACAAAACAACACATATTACAGTGAAGGCCAAGAAATAATGGTCATAAATGGTAGCTATTTTAAGCAGCTGTATTTGAAATTCCTTGAATATTATTTGGTTATAAGTCATATTAAATATTAAGAAACTTAGTTATGAATAAGTATACAGAGAATTGTTTAGTATAAACCTAATTCTGAAATAATGTCAGATAAAGATGAAATTCTATTTTATTTTAAATAAAAATATTTTATTTTTTTAATTTCCCAATTCTTAGCACATGCTTTTATCAACTTTAAGTTAATCTAACACTATGGTAGTTCTTTTTCAGAAAGCGAACCTTCACTTTTAGAATTTAAGCCATTCAGTTCTGGACCACTGGTTGGTGGATTTATATACAGAGGTTGCCAATCTGAAAGACTTTATGGAAGTTACACATTTGCAGACCGCAATGGGTAAATTATTTACAATTCTCATAGAAAAAGGATGTGTTATTTCTAGCTTAAAAATGAAAGTGCATTATATGGTGATGATCATTTGCTAGTAGTATATATTGCCAGGATGGATTTCAGAAATCTAACATTAAAATATGATATTAAGAGTTCCAGTCCTTAATGGAAGGTTGAACTAAGATGAGGCTTCCGAAAGACTTTTACTCCATTGCTCTAAAATTGCATTTTGTCCCCCATGTTCAGTCTTTATTTGAAACCATGAGGTAAACTCAACTAAATTTGATCTAAAATGTTATTGGTATATGGATGATATAAAGCTTTACCTTACTTTTTGATCTATTAGTCACAGGGAGATAATAGAAAAACTGAACATGTATCTGAAGGCAGTTGGGGATTAATAAGATAAAAGGCTATAATTAATTCAGTTAAACTGGAGGAAATCATGGACTGGTAAATCTTCATCTTTGATCTTGAAGATCAACTTTGGAGGTTGTGGTTAATTTGGGTCTGGGTTCTTCCAATGCAGAGCAGAATTATTGTGTTACTTTTTACCAATAAAAACAACTGCCAGTTCTCTAGGAAAAACAACAACATTGCTTTGCATTTAGACAGAGCCATTATAATGAGCTCTACATGAAACTGCATTTGAAAGTGTTCCTGAAAGTTCAACTACACAATGCAGAGATGTTCCCATACCAGTGGAGGCTAAGTATTTGGAGCATATAACAATGTATTGTACTAATGTATTGTGATAGGTCTCCAACAGAACTCAAATCATGACACCTAGATTGTATGGTCTAGGTAAGGATATCATGAAAATACCATCACCCAGTAAACTATGGACTTAGTTATGTTAGTTTTAGTCCCAATGCTCCTTAAGATATTTATATTGATTTCAGTCAGCAATATTAAAAATTAGTTTCTTGTTGGTGCTGTCACAATACATCAAACTTAGAGTGAAAAAAATAGTGCTGTTCTAGAAATTTCCTCTCAAAACTTATTTTATTTTTTCCGGCCACATGAGGGAATGAAACACGGAAAGAAAGGAGAGAAGTAGATAAGCAACCATCCTCATTCAGGCTACCAGAAATCTTTTAATTTTCACAGACATCCCCAAAAATGACAGAAATTGATAGCTTCAAGGATCAAGGGATGGAGAAGATATATCTCCCCATTTCATGATAACACTCACATTTGTATTCTACTAGGACATATATACCAGAATTGATTGTGCATTGTAGATTGGCACAGTTGAATATAGGTCAAGAGTATGACATACCCTTATAATGCAAACAAATAGTGAGTTCTCAGAAATATCTTTATGTATTGTGCAAACACATCAATAGTGTTCTAAGTGGCATTAAAGGTCCCATGGTAAAATCATAAAGCATTGCTTCAACTCACACTGTCATCCTATTTATGGTTAAAAGGTACAGATTCTCTTGAATCAGCTGTTTTTCAGGTGATTACATGAACATACCCACAATTTTCTCATCAATGTTTCTTTTCTATTAATTCTTTGTTTTTCTACCCTAGATTCCTGGGATTTCCTTGTTGTCTCTGAACCAAATACTAACCATACCTATCCTGCCTAACTTTTCTCAGGATTAGTTGAAAATTTCTAAATCTCCTATGGAATCTCCTATGGAATATTCATGCTTATGTTAGTCCTGTCAATTATACTAACATAATGGGACTTACTTTAAAAGAATCATATATGCAATTGTGCTGTTCTGTTATCATGCATTAAGAACAAATCTTTGAGCAACTCCAGTTGTATGACATCAATCTATTATAGGCTTATCGGTTGTAACTGAAGTTGAAACTTCAAAATCACGTTTAAGTATCTACCAAAATGAAAATTGAATCATAAGCTTTATAGCTCAGACTTTAAATGCAACCTTCTCAAATTTCATGCCTTCAAGATGTGTAGGGATTACAACTGCTAGAAAACCCAACCTGAAAGATACAATGCCAAAGAATTTGCAGAAATATGGACTCCAATTCAGATATTATTTAATATTTAGTTTCTATGTTGACCTCAGTAAAGTTAATGGAAGCACTGTGTAACCCTTCTCTTTTTATTGTTTTTAGGAATTTTTTAACACTACAGCAGAGTCCTGTTACAAGACAATGGCAAGAAAAACCATTATGTCTGGGCAACAGTGGTTCATGTCAGGGTTTTTTTGCTGGACACATTTTAGGATTTGGTGAAGATGAATTGGGTAAGACAAAAAGCAACTTATTATTGTTTTATAATATATTAATTGGAATTTAGCCCAGAACTATCTTACGATTGATTATTTAATACATTTTTATAAAATAAACTGAAACATAATTCCAGGAAGAGCCATTTAGTTCATTGTGTGAGGTACACATTAATAACCAGCCTCCACTTGGACAAATCCAGTGAAGAAGAACCAAATCATTCATAATATTAAAACAGAAAAATAACAATATCATAAAATGGTAGGAGGCTGATTTAGCCAATAATAAAAACTCCATTAAATAATTTTGCAAATTATAAGGTCATCTGGCAACAGAAAACGTAACAGCAAACCTTTGTATAGATTTGCCCATAAACAGGGCTATATATGAAGAATTACCCTTTCTCTTCTAATTGTCTTACTTCAGAAAGTAGGGTAACTCTATTTTTAATTCACCATTGTTTTACCTCAGAGCCTCTAACATGTGGGACTGAATTATCTTTGATTATCCAGTATGTAGTACACTTTCCAGGTATCTTAAAATTACAAACATATCACAAGCAAGAGTTATGGATGTTAAAGCCAAAGTATCTGGAGACCATCAAGTTGGAAAAAAAACTACTATAGATAAATATTTTGAACTGTGCTCAGAAATAGCTAAATTATATAGGCAATAGAGCTATAGAAGTGTGAAAGAAGTGCATTCCTACAGTCCCAATAGGCATATGTTGTGTTATCTATGAGCAATATTTAAAGGGAATATTATAGACAATAATTTGGAATAGTCTGGATGACAAGGGTCACAATGGCTCAGTAGGTACAGATACTAAGTTTGTCTGCTGGACAGCTGACAGACCGGTTTCTAGACCCAAGCGCCACGCAAAAGGATGATTTCCCATTACTTGCCCCAATGCCTATCCACTTAGCAGTTCAAAAGCATGCAAATACAAGAGCATAAATAGGTATCATTGGTGGGACTGTTTCATGTACTTCGGGGGTACAGTCATGCTGGCCACATGACCATGGAAATGTCTTTGGCTCCCTCAGCTAAGTAACAGAGATGAGCACCGTGCCCTAGAGATAGACACAATTGAAAGAAGAAACCTTTATTTTACCTTTATTATAGAGTAGAGTAGAGTAGAGTAGAGTAGAATAGAATAGAATAGAATAGAATAGAATAGAATAGAATAGAATAGAATAGAATAGAATTCTTTATTGACCAAGTGTGATTGGACACACAAGGAATTTGTCTTGGTGCAAATGCTCTCAGTGTACATAAAAGAAAAGATACATTTGTCAAGAGTCAAGAATCATAAGGTACAACACTTAATAATAGTCATAGGGTGCAATAAGCAATCAAATCATACTAAGAAACAGTCAATATAAATTGTAAGGATACAAGCGACAAAGTTACAGTCATACAGTCACAAGTGGGAGGGGATGGGTGATAAGGAATGATGAGAAGATTAATAGTAATAGTAGTGCAGACTTTGTAAATAGTTGGACAGTGTTGAGGGAATTATTTGTTTAGCAGAGTGATGGTGTCTAGTTGTTCTGGTGTGCAGTGCTCTATAGCATTGTTTTGAGAGTAGGAGTTGAAACAGTTTATGTCCGGGATGTGAGGGGTCTGTAAATATTTTCACAGCCCTCTTTTTGATTTGTGCAGTATAGAGGTCCTCGATGGAAGGCAGGTTGGTAGTAATTGTTTTTTCTGCAGTCCTAAGTACCCTCTGAAATCTATGTCTGTCTTGTTGGGTTGCAGAACCAAACCAGACAGTTATAGATGTACAGATGACAGACTCAATAATTATGGGGACTCAATAATTCTTCTATAGTACTGTATCAAAAGCTCCTTGGGCAGTTTGAGCTGTCTGAGTTGGTGCAGAAAGAACATTCGTTGTTGTGCTTTTTTGATGACGTTTTTGATGTTAGGTGTCCATTTTAGGTCTTGTGATATGATAGAACCTAAACATTCGAAGGTCTCTACTGTTGATACTGTGTTGTCTGGTATTGTATGGATGTACTAAAGAATGCACTCTCTCACTCTTCTCAATATGATACATATTCAATACCTACTTCAATATTTTAAAGAAACTGTGATTATTGTATCTCTAAAAGGCAGCAATATACTAATAGAATACAGTATATTACAGCATATCTACTGAAAATTTATTTTTTCTATTTCTAAAAAAAATCCTTTGAATTTGGCTCTCCAACCATTAAATTCCCTATTTACATTATTAAATAATCTGTGGAGAAAATGGTAAAGAAATATGAAGGTTACCAAATATTTTAGGAAAAATGCCTAACTGCAGCATGCACCACAATATTTCAGAAACTCAAGAACAAATTTGACTAAAAAACTGCAGAATCCAACTATTTTGTCAAAATGACTAAATGAGTTTCATGACAGCACTTCTCCGCACAAGTCTGAGAGCCTCAGTTTGCAGCACTATAGAATGCTCACTTCATCATTTTTATCACCTTCACCCCTTTTTCCTTACAGATCCCTCTGCCCCAGACACATTTTCTACTCTTAATCTTCATCAAGTTATTTTATCTCAGCCTCTATTTGCACTTTTAAAAATGAAGATATAAATTGATGCAATGGTCAATTTATTTAATTCCTTCTACAGAATAATATCCATAACTTTGTACTTTTCATCATAATGCATATGTTGCTTGGTATTTTTAGTGAATGCCAATATTTATTTGTTGTGTTTCATTGACAGGTGAGATTTACATCTTAGCAAGTAGTAAAAGCATGACACAATCACATAATGGAAAACTTTATAAAATCATTGATCCCAAAAGGTAAGAAATGAATATGACAAGACATAAATCTAACAAATAAATAATAAAACAGAGCCAGTTGGGCCCAGTGGTTAAGGCATCAGGCTAGAAACCAGGAGATTGTGAGTTCTAGTCCCGCACAAAGCCAGCTGGGCGACCTTAGCCTAGTCACTCTCTTTCAGTCCAACTCATCTCATAGAGTTGTTGTGAGGGAATTAGGAGAAAGGAACATTAGGTATATTTGGCATCTTGAGATATTTATAAAGTGATAACGATGGCATAAAAATAAATAAAAACGTGGAATTTTTGTTCTACATCAGCAGGTTGCAATATAAAATTTTGTATATGGAGCAGGTGATTTAAAAAAACAGTTAATGGAAAAAGGAGCTTCTACTAGTTCCCATGATCAGGTAGAGCGGGTGAACCCTGGCACTAGTTTGTCTTGCATGGCAGGGATATTCCTTGAATGTTGCTTTTCTGGGCATGTTAGCACTACCCTAAGGAGTGGCCCAGTTCCAGGACCCATAGGAGGGCTGCCCAGGCTAATTAATTGATGAGAATACACTTTGACTGGTTGTAGGCAGGAGCAGTAATTGCTGGAAGTAAATGGAGCACCTATGCTGCCTGCAAGGGCACGTCAAGCCAAGATAGCCCAGCTCAACTCCTAGGACTTTGTTAGATAAGTGGGTGCTGTCTTCCCACCAGTATTGCAGCTCAGTGATATACAAATGAAATAATTGGTGGCAGGGATTGGGTATGCTTAGCCTAGAGAAAAGAAGGACAAGGGGTGGCATGATAGCAGTGTTCCAGTATCTGAGGGGCTGCCACAAAGAAGCGGGGTCAACTTATTTTCCAAAGCACTGGAAGGCAAGACAAAAAACAATAGATGGAAACTAATCAAGGAGAGTAACAACCTAAAATTAAGGAGAAACTTCCTAACATTGAGAACAATTAACCAGTGGAACAGATTGCCTTCAGAGGTTATAAGTACTTCATCACTGGAGGTTTTTAAAAAAAGGCTGGGCAGCCACCTATCTGAAATAGTATAGGGTTGGACTAGAAGACCTCCAAGGTACCTTCTAGCTATATTCTGATTGAAATGTTTATAATGGGCTGTTTCTATTTATGCAGCACCCTATTTGAATATATTTTCTATCAAAAAAGCAACTCATAAAATTAAATTAATATTGTGCACACAACTTTCCCAGTATATTGAATATTGTAAATAACTTTTCTAATACGTGTTACAGCTACACCATATACATATGTATTGGTATGTGTGCCTTTTTGTATAGATGCTTCTACATATAAATGTTTTAAATATATGTTTAACTTTTTCATGAAAATATTCATGAAAAGTTTCTCTTTTTAAGAAAATTGGACAGGATCTAGTATGAATGATTGAAAATAAATGTATAGAAATATATATTATAAGATCTGCAAGAACTGACAGAAGTGTAGGGAAGGTGATCCTGGAGCATTTGCTTGTGGTAGGGGAGAAATAAAAAGCTTTTAAACTATAAATTAAATAACATTGCATGCCACAGAAAAAGTTCTAATGATTTGTCATGGATCTGTCATTGAAACAACATGTTATTAATTAAGAAGCAGATGTTACTGCCAATCATGCTCTTCTATTTGTTTTGTTTATTAAAGATTTCTAGTGAAAGTATTTTTATAAAACAAATACTACTCCACTCCACTGAGATTGTTTAGTCTGTTGGTGTGTGGATTTAGGTGAATTTTACACCTTTAATCCACTATTAGTTTCTGATTACAAAGAGGCTGTTTGTTTGACCTTGGATTTGTGCTCTTGTTACCCCACCATTTAGAGTGGCCTGAAATTGGCATATCTTAAACCTCTCAAAGCAAAATTCTCTGTTTGTTATTTAATGTGTGGCATATCTGCCTGGAATAAGACCAGTGGCAACGCAGTAACAAAAGGACAGCAAATACTTTGAAATTCATATGAAATTAAACTGATGAGGAAAAAACATTGTTTTATAGGGTTGCCATTTTTGATGTTTACATGAGCATAAAATAACACTTAAAGCCTTATTAACATTCTCAATGCAACTTTCAAGTGATGAGTCTCAAAAAGTATTCCAAAATACTAATAATGATAATAATAATAATAATAATATATTTGTGATACATTTTTAAATGTTCAGTTGACTGAGTTTCATGTTTAATGAATAAAAGGGATAATATATATACTGTATATATATAGAGAGAGAGTTAGAGCAGCCCTTTTTCCTCCACGCATCCAAGTTCTATTTTCTCATGAATATGCAAGCTTCTGCATCTATGGAAATATATTCCTGGATTTTCTTGACAGTTTGCATGAATTGCGTGTTTGCAGCAGAATCTCATGCCAATTGTTGAGAGTAAAACCTTGAATGATGGATCTCTTCTTGTTTGATGGTGGTGGTAGGATTTCAAGGGCAATTCATGTAAAACCAAACACTTCTGTATACCAAACATCAAAATGAGGTATGGAAAGAAATTATTATACTTAAATTAAAATATTTTCCAATATCATAGGAATATAGCAAGATTATAAACATTTTGATTAGTTAATAATTTTTTTCTAGGATAGCATTACATTGTCCTAGGGCATTTGGTGTAATAAGGTATTGGAAGAATATGATGCTTGTGGGGAAGATAATAATAATCATGGCACTCATCGATAACATCAGTGATACCGTAGTTTAATTACTGGTGGTAATATTTTTCTAGATGAATGGAAACAGGATTAATTCTTTAAATAGCTTCCAAAGGAATATTCACTGGATCAGCCTTTAAAAAATTCTTATCAGAAATTCTATTTTAAATGTACCACATATAGTATATTCAGGTAGAAGACTACCTGCGGATAAGTCAAACCCAATTTGCGGAGTATATTTTGTCACCTAGAATTGTGAGTTTGTCTGCAAGCATATATATGGTAAACTTGAAGAAGCATTTGAGAGTTCCAGGCTTTCCCAGTTAATTTGAGGAATGAATGGCGCACTGGTAAAAGAATTATTTATTATCCTAAAGCAGCCTTTTCCAACTGGAATTTTCCAAATTTGTTGAAGTCTAACTCCCCAAATTCTTAGCCAGCATGCCCATCTGAAAATCATGGCCCACACCTTTAAAGCAATAGAATAACATACATTTCAGGTACCTGGTAACGGCAGATATTTTCCCTTATTTAGTGTTCATACCTGTATGTAGCCCCTATAGATAGCAGGCAAATTAACATTGTTAGGCTACCTAAAATAAAAAGATGTTTCTTAAATTAAGAAGGCCACTAGTATAAGGATACATTAGCTTTATTTTTATGTGTAGACGGATTTTTGAAATATTTTAAGAAAGCTGCTAACTCTAACTAAGATGTAGGGAACGTACCGCTTTCCAATTGCTATAATTTCCAGCATTCCAAAAAAACATAAACACCACACATTCCACACCCTGCCTTTCCTTTTTTCCCCCCCTCTCTCCCTACTTTTATTTAAAGCTCTATTTGCTCATTCATTCCTTTCCTCTTAAGAAGGCATGTTTCCTGTTTGAAAATTTTAAATAATATTTGGTTAGGTATTAACTATTTTGTCCATTTCATTTAGTAATATTTCTGAAGGGGTAGCACAAACTGGATGTTATAATGCTTCAAAAATATTTAAAAGTTACTTTTTTTGGATGGTATTTTTTAAAGTTGTCCTAATAAACATAATTACTTAGATTTGTTTACATTTACCAAGAGTTGTCTTTCCAACAAACACCAGGTTTGCCTCACCAAGAGAAGCTTGAAGAAAGGCAGAAGAGTATCAGTTATCCTTGACTTAATATTGATTATTAACATGAAAGATCTTATTGAGACTAGCAGAAATATTGGCTGAAATGACCATGTAATGCTGAAGTTATTGTTTTTAAATTAAACTAAAACAGAACATGTATCTTTGATTTTTGAAAAATGAATAATAATATATTCATAGCAATGGTAAGAAAGATTCTATAGCAAAGAAAATTAGTGGGAGAAATTGCTCAGTTCGTCTAAATAATTCCAATGAGGGGAAAAAGCAAGAATGCAGCAGAAGACGCCAATATAGCTGTTTAAATCTTAGTAAAGATCTGAAAACAAGAAAGGAAATATGCATGGAATGGAAAAATTGCCAAGTCCCAAAGAAAAAACATAAACAGTAACTTAAAACTCTAGAGTTGGTGTCAGAAAGCAAAAGCTCAGAATGATCTGATGTTAATAAACCTTCTTAAGATATGTTCAAAGAAAAAGACAAGATATTATACCAGCTGTTCGGTAGGCAAAGCAGTAAAGGTAACAAAGGAAAGAGAACAATCCAACTTCTTTGTTAAAGAAGGCAAGAAAGCATGCATTACTCCAGGAAACTGTCATGGGAAGAATGAAAGAGCAGAACAGAAGATGAAGATTGATAGAAATATGGTTTTGGATAGAAAGTAAAGTTTAAATCTCCAGGACCAAATGATTTTTTTCTAGTAAACAGAAGTAGCTAACGGGCTGGCCGAACTTTTAAATATTATCACTACAAAATGCTGGAGAACTAATTAAATGTTAAACGATTAGAGGACAAAAATGTCCCTATCTTCATAACTACAGACCAATAACTCTTAGAGTGATTAGAATTCCTAGACCAAATCATAAAAAGACTTGGAACATAGGTTGGCTGCAAACTGAAATCAACAGTGTGGTACAAGTGGGGAAAAATCAAACACAATTTTAAACTACACTAAGGGAATAATGTAGTTCTAAATCATTGGGTGTAATTGTTCCACTTTATTTTGCATTACTCAGACCCCATTTCAGCTATTGTGCTCAGATTTGGGCATTCTATTTTATGAAGGAGACATACAAATTGGAACTGTTTTTCAGAAAGAGTTTGGTTCTGTTAAGAGAAATGGAAGTGACACAGAATATTTAGTTTTGAGCAGTTTAAACAGAAAATGGGGTAGATCAGGGGTGTCAAACTCAAGGCCTGTGGTCCAGATCCATCCCATAAGGTACTTTGATCTGGCCCAAGGGGCCACCCTGGAAACAGCAAAGGACCGGCTAATGATGCCTCCGTGCCCCCTGAGCTCTGTTTTCACTGGCAGAGAGTGACAGGAGGCCGTAGCGGGGCCCAGGGGGCCACACACAGCCCTCCCGAGCTCCATTTTCACTGGCAGAGGGCTAGCAAAACAAACTAAAAACAAAACAAAAGGCAAAATGTTTCCACTTTTGCATTTGAGCATGCAAGAAGGAACAAGAAAGGAGAAAGGAAAAGAGGAAAGACAAAGAAAAAGATGGGAAGAGAGCAAGGAATGAAAAAGAAGGAAAGGAAGGAAGGAAGATATATTAAAACATTTTAATCTTTTATTTTACTTATTAGAGAATCATATATTCATAAATCAGTGCAAAAGCTATCCACAAAGAACAATTAAAAATATAAGCCCATCCAGATGGATTATGTGATCCCCTTCAACAAAAATATAAATAAACCTTGAAGTCATCTGCAATTCTTCAATTTACTTTAGCTTTAATGAAATGATAATTGATTGGCATGCTTGCCTAACTATATGCCACTGAAGTTTTTTCACAATAAATCTCCTAGAATATATGTGAGCCCAAAATTAGCTTCAGAGCAATGGTCCATTTCCATCCCTCCTCCCCTGCATGTTCCATTCTTCTTGCATAGACTGCTCTGTGACCTTCCCTTTATAAGGCAAAAATACCTATCTGTTTGTATCTTCCTGTTTTCTGATGTGTGCAAGGAAACCCCTTCGTGTGCTGTCATAAAGCATGTAATACATAATTGAGCAACTTTAGTTCCACCAGCCAGTTCTTTCCTGATTCATCCGTCAAAGTGCAACACAAGTGGCCCCCTAAATTGATAAATTCCCACAGTGCCTGTTGACCCAGCTGCCAAGGCCTCATCCAGCAGGTGTTGTTTTTATGACCACCCTGACAGTAATACAAACTGTTTAGCAGTTGCATTGACCTCACAGCTATTAACACTGATACAGACTTCATCTGTATAGCTAGTTTTCAAATATGACAGAATTGCTTAAAGACTAGAGGTCATGAACAAGTATACCATATAAGAATAAATTTGATATGCTGCTGAGCTTTTTAAAAAAAAAAATCCAAAAGCTGGAAAGGTTCTTTTCCTTACTTCCCACTTCATTCCCTTACAGTAAATCAAGTAATGAGCACTTGGCAAACTTCCCAGTAAGAAAGCAAATGTACTGAAAAATACCTGAAAGAGGGCTGTATTTATTCTGAGAAAAGTAGATGTTTTTCTATGTTCCGCTGGTGATTCTATGTTATAACATATTCCCATTGTTATAATTTGAAGATGGAATTTTTTTTCTTCTTGCCCCCAGGATAACTAGGATCACGATCATTTTAATGAAGTTGCTTCTGATAAGGGACAGATGAAATTAGATTTAGAGCAGTCTTGTTCTAATAAATGCCCTTCAGATATGCTGGCATTACATATATTTGTTGCCAGAGATTCACAGATTTGTAGTTCTAGCATAACAAAGGCACGTAAGGTGGTTTAACCAACACTTCATGCAATAATTATGTGGTTTCCAATATTTTTGGCACAAGGTTGACTCAGCCTTCCATCCTTCCAAGGTCGGTACAATGAAGGCCCAGATTGTTGGGGGCAATACGTTGACTTTGTAAACCACTTAGAGAGGGCAGCAAAGCACCATGAAGTGGTGGGATTCAAATGTTTTTACTATACCGATTCTGTGGGCGTGGCTTGGTGGGTGTGGCAGGGGAAGGATACAGTAAAATTTCCAGTCAGAGGTGGTATTTGCCAGTTCTTTGAACTACTCAAAATTTCCGCTACCAGTTTTCCAGAACTGGTCAGAACCTGCTGAATACCACCTCTGGTTCAACCAAAAACTTCTTCATTCCATATTTCAACTGATATCTGTGAACAGAGCCTTGCAGCCTTGTTATCCAGTCTGAGCGGTATATAAGTCTAAGTGCTATTGCTATTTTGTATCTATAATATTCAATTATAAAATTTTTTGTTTAACTCTGGCTACATTCCATAGAGTTACCTAACATTCCAAATCTAGACTATAACATTGAGAAGTGCATTTGAAAGGCACTCATGAAGACTGACTTATGAGCATTTTTGTAAGTTTATGGTTCAGTGCATCAAGTGAATATTGAGAACTGATAATGAATTAAAACACAATTAAAAGCATGAAGGAATAAAGTGGTGCCAGGTGAATACAATCACTTAAGTCAGGGGTCTCCAACGTTAGCAACTTTAAGACTTGTGGACTTCAACTCCCAGAATTCCTCAGCCAGATTTTCCTCTGGGAGTTGAAGTCCACAAGTCTTAAAGTTGCCAGGGTTGGAGATCCCTGACTTAAGTGTGCTTATGTGAACTTCCTGTATGTGATTGTCAATATGAATTTGGAATACATCTTCATATGTGTATCATTTTTATAATAATTATTGCTGTTTTACATACAGTTTAAAAGGACGCCATGTTGGCTTAACTAATATTTAGAGGACTCCTAATTTTGAACAGTTTGTTAACAAAAGTTTTTTAGCATTTTTAAAAATATTTTTGCTGGCCATAGTAGCAATGTTTGTTAAATAGCACACTGGATTATCATAATGAAAATTAAAATATCCATTTCTTGCACTTTCCAAAAATACTAACAGCTTTAGTTTTGGAAAATAAAAATGAAGACTGCAAAAATGAAGGTATATGTAAATTGTTTATCTTTGATCCTGACATTGAAATAGGTACATTGCCTGTATTTTTTTCTCATAGGCCTTTAGTTCCAGAAGAATGTAAAAGAACAGCATTTCCTGCCCAGACATTGACATCTGAATGCTCAAGGCATTGCCAAAATGGGCATTGTACTCCCACTGGAAAATGTTGCTGTAATCAAGGCTGGGAAGGTGAATTCTGCCGAACTGGTGGGTATTCTATTCCATCGTAATTGCTGACCATTGTCAATAACAATTTCTGACATTCTTTTAAAAAATATTTATAATGAATGGTAAGAAAATGTCTAGAGGAAGAGACTAGAAAACCTGATTTATGAATTCAGAATTCATTTAGTAACATTCACAGATGCAATGCGACCACAAGGCAAACATTGCACTCAAGATTTCACCCTAACAAGATGTTCAGAAATGACATTCTTAGATAATTCAACCCAATTTTAAATCTGAAATGTCTACTCAGAAATGCTCCAATGGACTCAACAGGACTGATTCCCCATGAGTACAGATAAGTCTTTAGTCTAAATTCCCAAATTTTGTGCCTTGCACTTTTTGTACTGTCTGAAATCCTGTGAGTTTCAGTCTTGTCTCATCTGGAAGGCACCAGATTATAAATGTTGAAGTATGGGAATACATTCATCAATCTCTGAACAGACGTGTACAATATTCACTCACAAGAGTTTCTGTGAGTACTAATCCTCTGTAAGAACTTAAAGCCCGTATTGAAACAAACTTAAACATCTTGTTTAAATATTTAATTGCCATTTTTAAAACTTAGTTCTCGAATGAATAAATGATCATACTTGGAGTTTCTTGCAGATCAAGACAACATTTTCTGCACAGAAAAAGGAAATTGAATTGTATATGCAGTGGTGGGCTGCTGGATGCTCGGCGAGGTTCAGGCGAATCCCTTGCTGTGATTTCTGGCTGGGCTCGCCCACCTGCCCTTGTGCTATGTTTTCCCTAAATAAGTAACTTTCCCCCCGCCCAGGCTGCCCAGGTGAGTTCTGCGCCACCCTGCTGTACTCACCGGAGCTGCCTGAGTCAATTAGCTGCCTGTTTGAAGCTGTGTTGCAGCCCCAAAGCAATGCATGTGCACTCACGACCAGCGAACACCTTGTCAACGAAAGTGCAGCCTACCTCTGTGTATATGTTTCATGACATCAGATAAGCAGAACATGTAGAATTAGTTTTAAACATTAAGATATTTTCATTGTAAACCAATTTGTGCACTGCTCAGAATATTGTCTGAAATAACTTCACACCACCCCTATGATACTGGCATGGTTGCCTTTCCATGTTTTGCTTCGAATACTAACAGAGGATTACATTTTTTTGCAGCAAAGTGTGATCCAGTCTGTCGACATGGTGGTGTCTGCATACGACCAAATAAATGCTTGTGTAAAAAAGGATACCTTGGTTCTCAGTGTGAAGAAATGGACAGGAACATCCGAAGAGTGACAAGGGCAGGTATTTTTGATCAGATCATAGACATGACATCTTATTTGCTGGATCTAACCAGCTACATTGTATAGTTTCTTGGACTATTTAGAGACACTACATTTTCAATGGGCATTTATTTTTGAATCTTCTCTTTCCTTTTATTTGTAAAGACTGTTTTCCTGCTTTGAAACTCCAGCGATTCCTTTGGATTTGTAATTCTGTCTTTATTTACAGAAATGTACCCATTCACTTACCAATATCTGATTGCATAATTAGTGGAACATTAACGTTACATTTTTCAGGTGGAATAATTTACATGGAAATTCCACTGGAAACTACAGAAAATATCACTGATGTCACTATGAATTATTTGATGTTCTACCAATGTTAAGTCTATAATTATTTTATTATTGCAATCAGAAAGGAGTTCTGAAATTTTGGACATAATTAGAAAAAAAAAAGAAAAAATACAAAAAATGACAAATGGATTCAGATGACCACTTTTCATCCAATATTACACATGGCCATTTTTTCCTCCCATTAAAAGCTTTTTTTTAATGGTTAAAAAAGCTAATATAGCAAGAACTACAGGAAGTCCTTGCTTAACAACCGCAACTGGAGCCAGCAGCTTAATCATTAAGCAAAGCAGTCACTAAGCAAAACCATGACTGTGCTTCAGAGCTTTTCTTTGCTTTACTGACCTGTGAAGGTCATAAATATGAGGATTGGTTGTAAGTTACTTTTTCTTCACCATTGTAACTGCAAGTGATAGCTAAATGAGGTAATTGTTAAACAAGGACTGTGTTGCAATTGTTCCAATGACTAGAGAAATCACTGTTACTTTGAGAAAAACATGGCCATATGAATCTACTTTTCCCACTCTAGCTCTATTTCACAACTCCTTCATGCATTCTTATATAGGCAGTTCATTATAAGTTTGTAATCTTCACCTCTATCATTGTAACAGAATGTTATGCACTTAACTGCTTTACCTAACATAGATGCAAGTCTGGCTGTCACAGCTTGATTTCCACACTGTTTTAATTTTTTTTAACAATTAAATTATATCCATATATTTTAAAAACAATAATTCTAAAAGGTCTGCTTTTTATTGAATATCTTATTTAACAATGGGCACTGAGATTGTTTTACATATTTATATGATTTTATTTTATTTTTTATAATATAGATATCACCTAGATGAACAGCATTGTAAAATACTAAAGTTATATGTTCCTTCACCTTAATTGGAGAGTACAAGAGCAAGCACACTCTTTAATGTATTGTGGACTAATATAGACCTATATTATGATGTCATTCTTTGTTTATAATCCACAAAATAGTAGTACCAACTAATAGGTCATTTTAAATACTGATGAAATACTTGCCACTATATCAGGACTGGCCCTCTACATATGTTATTACAAAATTCACACTAAATAAAACCTTGCCAATGACTGGTCACTTTAACTAAAAAAAATGTTTGTGTAAGAGAACATGTATAAAAACATCAAAAAATATTATTGCCAAATAGGGTTTAAAATGTAAATGCTTTTTGGAGAATAAACAGAATATTGTTTCATTTTTGTAAATGTATCAATAAACTTGGTGTACATGCTGTATTCATAATTGTTAATGTTTTGATTGATATTTCCTCAGAATTTTAAATGTTATTTCTGTGATAATCGGGACTGGTCAGGGTAGTTCTCTCTTGCAGCAGATATGATTTTCTTTTTGTGCTATTGTTTTTACAGAGAAGTCTTCTCACACTAAGAAAAGGAATTAATAATTGTGTTCTTCATACCACAATTCATAAAACACCTGTTCCTATTCCAGGACTATGCAAAGATGTTAAGCAATGCATTGTTTGAATGTGGCTTCAGTAGACAAGGAGAAAATCTATAGAATGAAATAAAAATATTTATTATATTTTAGTACAACTACAATTTGTACACAGAGTGCATAAGGTAGACTGTTCTTGATCAAATATCTCTGCTTAAGCAAGAACAGAAGAAGATGAGTCTTACCATCAACCTTGGGTTTCAAGTAACTTCCCGACAAATGGAAATTGGATAAGTGCTTAATTAAGTGCTTAGTGAATAAAGAACTGTATTTTAAAATATGCATACTTATTATAGTAAATAATTATAGAGCTGTGGTGGCACAGTGGTTAGAATGCAGTATTGCAGGCTGGCTCTGATCACTGCCAAGCCTTTCATCTTCTGAGGTGGGTAAAATGAGGACCCAGATTGTTGGGGACAATGTGCTGACTCTGTAAACCGCTTAGAGAGGACTGCAAAGCACTACGAAGTGGTATATAAGTCTAAGTGCTATTGCTATTATTACATGTTGTAGATCAATTCTGTTCAGAGAAGGTTCAGGATTAAATAAGCATGGAAACTAAATTACTCTCTTATTCCAGAAAAGAACGTTCTCTTCTAATCGTACAAGCATCTTATTGGCTAGGTAGTATGACAGATCTTGTGATGAACCTTGCAAGTGCTTGCATCTGTAGTTTGATAGCCACTCTTTTATCTCCATTGCTTTTTCTTTTATTGTCTTTTTACTGAATTGCTTCATGAAACGTTTTACCATTAAAAGCATGCCCTAGGAACTATATGTATACAGCAGCTTTATTATCCAATCTTCCTTTGTTCAATATGGCATTGATAGTAACAGAATCTGAGCTTCTAGAGGAAGAGGCATCTACCTAGTTCTGTCAATGCTGGCAGTTTCTATACATGTGCTTTGTAGCTTTGCCAGAATAAAAATAAGAATTTAGAATTTTAAATAATTGAGTCCTTGTGGAGAATGAAATGAGAGTTATTTCTAAGTTTACACAATTTCACCTATTTTAAGAAAATATTTTTTGTTCTTACACTACTAAAACAGTTTAAAGAATGAAAAATTTATTGTAGTAATGAGATACTCAGAAATCATTGCTTGAAGATTAAAATATTGAAACAAGTGAAAATACAGTCTACCTAGGAACTCAAAAACATAGAATAAGCAGAATCATTCATTTGCAACTGTTGTAAAAAATAATAAAAATATCTAGTTGTACTGCTTGTATGGTAATAGTATAATGTCTATTTTGTGACACCAAACCAGTGTAACAATTAGTAAAATGTACAATTGGGATAAAGACACTGAATCTGAATGTTTAAGTAGGCATTCTTTCTAATGAAAACAAATCTTCATCTGCTAGGTTCCTGGGAATATATAGTTTCAACCTGGAGATTTGAGTCAAAATGATGAAATGAGTATGCTCTGCACACCCTTATTTGCTTGTATGCAAACCACAACATGTAGAAAGAGAATTTATATTGTAACACGATGTATATTTCATAATTTGTCTATCATTTCTGCATATTTTTAAAAGGAAAAGATAGAAAAATCATTACAACATGCATTTTATTTATTTATGACTATTCAGAATAAGAAACTACAGTACTTTGTTTTTACTGAACAGCCTTCTGCATGCCGATATAATAGGAATACAATTTTCAGAATTCTCTATTAGTCTTGTTAAAATTGCAGCATATCTAGAAACAAATAGTTTGTGAAGGGATGTTGTTCAGATATTAATAGATCACATATTTTAGTTGCCTGAGCTGATAATGATGGAATGAGATAGAGTAGCTCATAAGAATGGATTGTGGAAAACACATAGAACTAAATTAAATGTTACTTCCCCCTTCCTTTACTCACTAAAATAGCGTGGAGCAATTGTTTACCTGATGGGTTGCATGATTTTTTTTTTTTTTGCACAAAGATTGTATTGGGCACATTGGAAAGGTCAATCTTACAATGGTAGTGGGATTTGGGGATAATTTTTAAGTTTATGGATATTTCATGATACAACCTATGACATAATAAATTTGCAAATAAAATTGGCAACCACATATAATCACACTATCTAGACCCCTAAACTTTCCTGCTTGCCCTATATTTATTATGCAAATGTAGATTTGGCTAGAGCAGAGGTGTCAAACTTGATTTCATTGAGGGCTGCATCCACGTTGTGTTTGACCTTGGGGGGTAGCCAGATTAACATCAGTCATATTGGGGTGCCTGTGGTGGCCTGAGCACTCTGCCAGCGTAAATGGGCTCCCAAGCTTCGTTTTTGGCTACAACTGCCTGCAACCTTTTGCCAGTGAAAACAGAGCTCGGGCCTTCGCAAAGTCTGTTTTTGCTGGCAGAGGCACCGTGGGCCAGTCCTTTGCTGTTTCTAGAGCGATCCCGCAGGCCAGATCTAAGCACTCTGTGGGCCAGATCGGGCCCCGGACCTTGAGTTTGACACCCCTGGGCTAGAGCCTTTAATCAAGTTATAAATTGAGATGACTTATAAAAGTAATTTACCATTCTTCTGGTAATTTACTAGGCAGGATGTAAAGAGAAAAAACAAAGAGAAAAATAGTGGTGGCTCATTCTCTTTTGTTTCTGGCCTAGCCTATTGCCATTGGCAAGTTCCTTTCAACACATTATACCAGAGAGGGTCCTATCCAGCCAAACAGCCCTTAATAGAAAAAAAATATTTTCCACTTCTGCTGGTGGTACACAAAAAACAATTGTCCTACAGCTCTTCAGAAATTAGAAAATATTTAATTTTAATTTCATTGTTGCTTGAAAAATGGTTAGTACCTTTGTCAAATGATAAAGAAGGAAATGTGCAGCAAAAACAAGTAACAAAATCCAATTTCTCTCAGTGATCATATTAAGAGGATTTCTTGATTTTTTTTGATGGAAATTAAGTGTAATAACTTTACATTTGTCAAAATAGTATTATATTAAACTTTTAAGACATTCTGATCAAGGACTATAATCAAGAACTAAGAAGAAATCCCATGATACCTGAGACTTTAGACATCATAATATTCCTTGCTTTATTTACATTTTAAAAGCCCATTACAGACAGGAGAAGGTGTAGACTCCACACAAAGTGGTATATGATGTATATGAACACTAATTTCATGTGACTAATGAAAGAAGTAATCGGATACTCATTTCTACTGAGTGAAATAACAAACAGTGATACTGAAAAATCATCCAGGTACCAAGTATTAATCTTTACTGGAGAAAACTTGCAATCTTGAAAGCTATCAATACCCAA